AGAAGAAGAAGAAGAAGAAGAAGAAGAAGAAGAAGAAGAAGAAGAAGAAGAAGAAGGGAAAAGAAAACAGGAGGAGAAGGAGGAGGAGGAGGAGGAGGAGGAGGAAGAGGAGGAGGAGGAGGTGGTGGAGGAAGCAGAAGAAGAAGAAATCAGACATGTGTGCTTTGGATTGTAACATTGTTGTTCATAGGAGGTGATTATATGTTACATAAACATATATCTTACTTAGAAGGATACCAAAAACAGCAATGTGTTCATCATCTCTGAATAGGAAAGGAGATTGTATTCTTGGCATTAGAACTTAGAGGAAGACCTGCTGTTATGAAGTACTCATTATAGTGACATTTGAAAATGTGTCATATTTTTTAATTAGGGCTTTGTAGTTATACATATTAATTGGGTTCATCACAAAATACTCATGCATACATGAAAATCAATTTCATTTCATAATCCCCCTTGTTCCCTCCCTCTTTTCTCTCCCTGACTCTCTCCCCTCTCCCATTCTCTTTCCTCTACTCTGACTTCTTTTTGCTCATTTACTAATTTGCATTTGATGGGTTCTTTGTGTTATCCTATCCTTTCCTCCCCTTTCCCTTTATTTTACTCTGGCTTCTGCATATGAGAGAAAACATTTGACCTTTGACTTTGTGAGTTTGGCTCATTTCACTTAGCATATTCTCCACTTTCATCCGAAAATGTGTTATATTCTTGATCCATTAAAATTAAGGCTTCGAAAACCCTTACCTTAGGAGAAGGTCACTTCACACTGGTATGTAACTTAGCCTTAACAATTATCTTCTGCTGTAGGAAGGAGGCAATGTGGTATTCCCCAGGTAGCATTATGATCCAGAGACTTGATTTGTCATGATGAGTCGGTTTCAGGGGTATCATAGAAATCCAGTGCTCTTTGATCACATTACAAACCACCACATTGCCATTATCTATAGATTTGTTTGCTTTCATGAGATTTTCCACATGCACTCAAACAAAAGTAAATATCAAACAGATAAACTAACACGTGAAAATGCCATAGATAGAAAAGAGAGATGTACATTAGAATGAAGCAACATAAAGAAGGAGACTTTATCTGTCTATCATATCTATATTTCTTATAGATAAAATGCAATAGTGTTCCATACTCTGCTATGTTCAATGGCCAGGAAGAGAAGGGTTGTTTTCATTCTACGGTATCCATGGCAACATCATCACCACTGGGAACCAAGAAGTATTTTCCTGGAACACACTAATAGACACTGTTTTCCTTTGCTTCTCATCTCCCTGTCTACCAATATTCCTTACCCACTGAGTAGTGCCCATGTCCATCAGCAACTGCTGTGCATGCTTCCTGTTTCCATATTTTTTTCTTGGATTATAGTGCTCTCAGAGAAGTCCCTAAAATTTCTATGTTCTATAAATGCCTCATGTGCCCTAGATACTAGCTGTGGCATTGATAAAACTAATTTCTTGCAACTACTAAATATAACTAAATTACTTCCAAGTGCAATTCTTCCTTTCTTTGCTAAATCTTATAAAAGTTAATTATGTTCAGTTGCCCTTTTTTCTTCCCAAGGCAATTTGGAAGTCATTTATTCAAAGGAAAATAAAAAAATACTTCTCTAATTCTATATGAACCAAGATCACTTTGAACATGAGATTTGAAGCTTTGGTTTTCATCTACATTTTAGAAGACAAGCTAAGTTAGTCCCAGATTCACCCATTTCCTTAAATTTATGATCACACAGGATTCTGGTTATGAAGGCTTCTCTTTAACCATCCTGGGAGGAGTATTTATACACAAATGATGCTGAACACAGGAAACCGGCGAAGGGCTATCCTCTAAATTGTCCCTTCCCTCCCAATTAAGAAACACGAACAAAATATGATAATTAATTAACCTACAATTTGACTTAGATTTCTTGTTAAAAGAGGTGTAAATGTGCTAAAGAGTTTTAGAACATGAAACAATAATTGTCTAGGGCCCTGGTATTATTTTTAGTACCATTCTCCAATAGAAATCTCAGGGTTTCTTGATGAAGTGGCTGATTGTACATCTGGGGCACAAATAATATGGGCAATTGAACATTATGTAGAGGCAGAAAGTAGGGAATTCTAGAATGCACATATATTAATGAGTATATGTGGCAAGGAAACTGGAGTTAGCCAATAGAACCCACCACAAAGCCATAAAAAAGTAACACAATATTGAAATATAGCCTAAAGTATAAAATAAATATCCACAAGTGTCCAAGTAAGTATTGAATAACTAATAAAATCAGGAAGTATAAAACACCTCCCATGAAAAATTCAAAATGATTTCTTTATAAATTTTACTGATTAAGGTTCTTCATATAAATGGAATCATAGAGCATTAGACTTCTTGTGAATGGCTAATTTTTATTAATGTCCTCAAACTTTATCCATGTTGTAGCAAGTACTGGCATATTCTTTTAATACTGGGGTTTCCCATGGTATGTATATATCACATTTTTAATCCATTCATTTGTTGTAGATCACTTGAATTGCATATGTGCTTTGGCTATTGCAAATAATTCTGCTATGTACATGAGTGTACATGAAAATTTTGCCTCAAAAGGGCATGAGTTCAATTAGTTTGAGTTTATACATGGAATGGAATGGTGGATCACCTAGTGGTACTATTTTTTTAGGAGAAATATCTTTCCTAGAAATCAATCATTTTATATCATTTTATATCAAATTTATAACATTTGAACAGGGACAAATGTTCCTATTTTTACACATCTTTACCAATTCTTTTCATTTAATATGTTTTTACTTGTAGATGGACACAATATCTTTATTTATTTATCTCTATGTGGTACTCAGGATCCAACCCAGTGCCCCACGTATGTTAGGCAAGTGCTCTACCACTGAGCCACAATTCCAGCCCTCCAATTCTTCTTTTCAGTAGTAGTCACCTGAAATGTTATTTCTCTTATGCTTTTGTTTTACATTTCCCTGTGCACAGTGATGTTGAGCATCATTTCTTCTGCTTAATAACCATTTGCTTATCTTCTTTGAAGAAATGTCTATTCAGTACTCTTTTAAAAAATTGAGTTTTTATTTGACATTTAGTCGTAGGAGTTTACATATGTTTTTTTTTGTGTGTGTATACATATTTCTGGATATTATCTATAATCACATAAGACTGCATATATTTCTCCCACCCATTCCATGGGTTCTCTTTTCATTTTATTAATTATACCCTTTGATATAAAGAAAGCTAATATTTAGATGAAGACCAATTAATCTAGTTTTCTTCTGTTATGTATGCATTTGTGTTAATCTGAGAAATAATATTCTAATAGAATGTCTTGAAGCTTCTTCACTATGTTCTCTTCTGATATTTTTAGGGTTTTAACTTAAAAATATTTGATCTATTTGAGGTGGTTTTTGTTTGGTATAACATAAGGATCCAGCTTTAGTGTTTTACATGAGAAAATCTAATGTTTCCAGCATCATATATTGACGATTCTCCCTTTCCCATCAAATGGTCTTAATCCTTTTATGGGAAATGATTTGGTGATATCTGAGAGGTATTAATTTTGAGCTCTTTATTTTATTTCATTGTTAAGTCTCTTTTGTGTTGTGACACACTCTTGAATATTATAGTTCCTATTCTTCTTATTAAAATTACAAATTATAAAAATTAGTGGGATTCACTATGGTATTTGTAAACATGCAACCTCACGCATTAACAATAATTACACACCCTCCATCCACCCTCATCCCCTTGTGTCACCTCCACTGACACCCCTCTCATTCACAAGGAAACATTTTTCACTTTCAGAATATTTTTTTTCTGAACAAAATATACATATTCAGATTCCACATGTAAGAGAGAACATGTAGTAGTTGTAGTCTATGTCTGGATTACCATTTTTTGTTTGTTTGTTTATTTTTGCTTTTGTTTTGGCACTGGGGATTCAACCCAGGGGCATTTAACTACTAAAATACACCCGGAGACCTTCTTATTTATTTATTTATTTTTTAAATTTTGAGATAGGGTCTTTCAAGTTACTCAGGGACAATCATTGTACATTCTGTAAAGAGGAGGATCATTGAGAAGGAAAATGTGTAAAATGTTTCCAAGCTAATTTACCCATGTTCAGTAAGACTGTGGTCCATCCTGGTAGATGTTAGAATTGATAGAGAAAAATAGAAGAAACCAATAGTTTTTTTTTACAAGTTTCTAAAGTAACTCCTGAGAAGTTTCAGCTGACCTTGATATAAAAAATGAGAGGGTTTAGTTTTGGGACAACATGGGGTAACTGACTTGGTCTTTAAGAGTCGACAGGAAATTATAATCAAACAAAATGCATTAATGTTAGATTTAAAAAATGTAAAAAAAAAGATTTCTATATCGGTATTTAAAAGGGAAAGGCAATGATCTTTTTAAATATAACTTCAGATGTTCACTTTTGACGGCCAAAAATTAAATGGGATTTTATGAATAAATATCTAATATAAACTGTTAATAAAAAGTCTTGAATTCCACTGCTGTGTATAAATAAAATACACCAACAAAAAATAAAGTAAAAACTATGGGTCGTGGTGGCTCATGCCTGTAATCCCAGCAGATCCTGAAGGCTGAGGCAGGAGGATCCCTAGTTCAAAGCCAGCCTCAGCAAAATGAGGCACTAAGCAACTCAGTGACACCGTGTCTCTAAATGAAAAATACAAAATAGGGTTAGGGATGTGCCTCAGTGGTTGAGGGGCTCTGAGTTGCATCACCAGTAATCACCCTCCCCTGATAAAAATAAAAAATAAATAAATAAAGTAAAAGAGTGGGAAAAAATTCCTGCTACACACTCACATATACACAAAACAATGTAAAAAATACAAAAAGTGAGAAAAAATAACCTGCTAAGTTTATCCCAAGATAATTTGATTCTGACCTAAGAGATCTGTCTTTTAAAAACACAGATATTGAGAAACTATTGAAGCTTACATGCCTAACCTCACTACACTGTTACCTGTTACTGTTGTGGCTTTATATTTCTTAATCTCCTAGTAAAATATGTATTGTCCAGATTACAACAATTCCATGGTTAAGTCCCATAGTTCTTCTCAAGCTCCAAGTGGCCCCAAAGGCTTAGCCACATCTAAAATATCACAGGGCAGATGGATGTTAGACAACTGATCCCTTTATCCGGGTTGCTGATAGCCGGGACACCATAGTCAAGGCTTTCACTCAGTGAAATGGTTGACTTGCTAACTGCCATGGTGCTACAAAACAGGGGAGCCTGGACCACTCAGGAGAGGCCATTATAATTTCCTCAGGCAGCGAAGGAGTAATCCTAAAACAGGTGTGGAGAGGTCATCCACTGGTAGTGGGAGGGCACTTCTACAGAAAATGAAGAGGCTTTTTCTTTTTTTCACTTGCAAAAATTCTTATTTCTCTCTCTTCAATATTCTCAATTTACTAATCCATTTGGTGATGGAAGTCAGAACCTGGTTCTCACCCATATTTCTTCTCTTTCTAATCATCCTTATATATCAGTTCTGTTGTCTATAGGTTTTTAAAATATTTGAGGAACAATTTCTCTCTCTCCATGTCAGTTAATGTTCAATAGATACAGAACTTGAGATGAAGATGTTTACCAAGTGACATACAGAAGTCATATGGTACAGACAAAAAGAAAAACACTTTCAGGTTTCTTGAAGAAGGGTGGGAGACAGATTCATATAAATTTTTTTAAAAAGAGAGAGAGAGAGAGAGAGGGAGAGAGAGAAATTTTTTTTAATATTTATTTACTTTTTTTTTTTTAGTTTTCAGTGGACACAACATCTTTGTTCGTATGTGGTGCTGAGGATCGAACCAGGGCCGCATGCATGTCAGGCGAGCAGGCTACCGCTTGAGCCACATCCCCAGCCCAGATTCATATAAATTTGGGGCAGTGCTCAGGGTTGCTACCTCAAGCATATGAAACTTCTCTTTAATTTTACTGATCTGGATCTGCAGAGTGGCTCAAGTCTGGAAGTTGATTGAGGGAACATGACTTTCTCATTTGAGGATTCAGTTTTTATTCCACTCAAACTAGAAATTTTCTGCTTAACTATATCAAGAAAGAAGTCATTAGGATTTCTATAGTATGTCACTACTAGGAAGCCTAAAATC